CAATACTTTTATATGCAGAATAATTAGAGGAATTGTATTAGGTTAAAAATATATAATTTCGTTTAAAAAAATCGATGTGATCTTGATCTGATCTTAACGACGCCATCTAAAATAAAATTAATGATATTTTCTTATGTATATACCTCCCCGAACCGTACAATTTTTATTTAAAACATTTTTCCACATCTATCATATTTTTCGAGAATCTTAATGTATTATTTAAGAATCTATGTCGGATCCGTCATTTTGAAATGTATACTTCTGACCTCGAATTCGTGTTCAGCGATCAAAAAAACAACAGGTAATACTAAACTCTATTGAAATTCAAATATTTTTTCGAATTTTGAGTATTTTGACACATCTATATATGAAGAAATGCATAAACTTACTAACTGCAAGGTCGAGGGGCAACCTGAAGATATTGATCGGTTTCGATGAAATTTTACCCAAACCATATTGAAGTCCATAGCTAACTTTTGGGGGGTATTACTAATCAATATTAAAAAAAAAAATTTTTTGGTTCACCCTAATATACATATATATGGGACATTCTCTGTCAAGCGGGCCACCCCCCCTGCCCTTCAATTTTTTAGATAAAATACTTCAAAAGGTCTTAAAATTTTTGTTGAAATGTCTACTTTTTGTTGCCGTATATAGCCTTTTTAAAAATTCAAGATGGCAGATCCAGAATCGCGACTAGAAGAAACTGTCGTCAAAAAATTTTTGAAACAAACTTTAATTACTGAAGCACAGGAGGCTAGACAATTTTTTTATTTCCATAAATTAAGGTTTTGAAGATCGCTGAATACGAATCCGTAATCATAATTGTGAAATTTCCAAGGCGAATTCAAAATATATGGTCTTTAGCCAATTTCCAAATAATGATTTTTTTAATCAATACACAGCAAACAGGTATTCCTTTGAGTCGCTAATCATAAATTTTCAGTTATCAAAGCGAAATTCGGGATATCGATTCTAATATGACTAGTGCAATATAAACATACATCTCAAGTTGAGAAATTTTTAAACATTAATAACTAGGTATTGGTTCATTGGTTTTTTGATTACAAATTATCAGTCTTTATTCTAAGTTCAAGATTGTTGAGCCAAGATGTTGAGAAATATAGAAATTGCATAATTAAAAAACAAATTCTGATAAATCTTTATGTCCAACTTGAGATGTATTAGCTATATTATACCCGCTATATTGGAATCGGTATCTCGAATTCTGCTTTGATAACTGAAAATGCATGATTAGCGACCAAAAAACACCGAGTCTTTTTGCTGAGTCTTGTACAAAAAAGTCATTATTTGGAAATTGATTCAATTTGGCCACTAGTTTGAATCTATCATTGTCAATTTCACAATTATGATTGCAGATTTGTATTCAGCGACCATAAAAACTTTAATTTATAAATATAGAAAAAATTTTTAGCCTCCTGTGTTCGGTAATTAAAATTTGTTCTAAAAATTCTTTGACGACAGCTTATTGAGGACGCTATGGTCGCCATTTTGAAGTTTTCCAAAATCGCCAGATGACTTCGATTCTACATTAAAAAAAAGCTAAAATTTGAGAACATACATTTAAAAAGGCTCATTTATGGGCAGAGCCATTTGTGTTTTTGTTTGGAATAATCTATGCACATGCACGCACGCACGTACACACAGCTCAAAAAAATTATGACAGAAAAATTTTATTAAAAAATTGGCTAACTTTGGCTGACGATAACTCCGTGAAAATTCATCGTAGGATCATAAATTTTTTTAAAGCTTAAAATCTTCAGTTTAAGATACTTTGTATTGATTTTAAATTTAATGTACTTTTACTACTATAAATTTTTAAATCGTCATGTATGTGTATGTTTTACACTCGCGCGTGCACGCACACGTACACACAATGTGCAAAATCCGATTGCCAATCTCCTTATGGTGCTTATCGGGTAATACCAACCATGAGAAAAATACAAGGATTACTTTGTAACGCTATAACTTTGTGAAAAAATAGTGGTGATTTGCTTTTTCTTTACATTAAAGAGAAAGATTCGAGCTTTATGTCATTATAAACGACATTAAAAAATTTTTAGCAAATCCGTGCATTACGTCAGGCTTTGCAATTTTCAGTATAGTAAACATGCTCTCAGATTTAAGAGTTAATAGTAATAGGGGTGCATTAAACTTAAACTCGATACAAAGTATCTTAAAGTAAAGATTTCAAGCTTTAATTTAAAAAATATTCATGATACTACGATGATTTTTCGCGAAGTTATTGTCAGCCTATGTTGGCCAATTTTCGATCAAAATTTTTCTATGCTATAATTTTGTTAAGCAATGTATGTAGTATATATGTATATAAAACTTATGAATTATTGCTATGTAAAGGTTTAACTCTCCATCGGCAATGTGAAATTTCCAATCTAGATTTGCAAAATGGATCTTTAAAGTTCTACAGTAAAGGAGCAAGTGTCATTATGGCCGTTTTTTGGGCCTCCGCCAAATTAGTTCGCTTTGGACTATTTTAGTTCTTATAGAATAAAACCCTGTAAGATGATTTCTTGAAAGGTCTAATAGTTTTAGAGATACAGGCCTTGAAATAATCCACATTTATATGAAATTTTACGTTGTGACACACTTAAATATCCTGTTCATCCTGAAAGAGCTTAGCCCTCCCTAACTATACTTATTCAAAATTATGTCATATATGCGAGATAAAACATGTGAGATGAAGATGAAAAGGATTGAATAATGCCATCGATGTTATATTCAAAGTCAAAGAAGGACTGGAAGGACATATTTGAAGATAGAAATCTTTTAAAGATTGATGTTATTATAATAAAATAGTTAAGAAAACTAATATTTTTTGTATGAATTTCACATAAGTGATTAAGAGAACCATTAACTATGTGTGAGGAAATATTCATAATAATAGGGTGTCCCATTTTAATTTACGCATTGAAATATTTCGAAAAGTATATAAAATACCGAAAAATGTTTCAGACAAAAGTTTTATGACTTTGAGAGCGACATAAGGTACCATTGGTATGACCTTGAACGGCACTGCCAAGGTCACTTTGAATTTTTTAAATGGAACTCCCATTTTTCATTGCACATTCTTGTGGCTTATCTCGAGAGCTTTTCAAGACACTATAATAAAATATATTTTTATTAAGTACGTTCGAGTTAGAAGGATTGAAAGTTACAATGCTATCAGCATTAGTATTACCCATTAGTATTGCTGACGAAGAGTTAATATTAAAATTATATATTATATATAGTTATCAAGTTTAAAAAGATACAAGATTTGCCCAAACTTTAACTAATTTCAAATCAAGAAAAATTTAACATATCAATCTTCATTTATAATAAGTGACGTTTCTCATTTATGTTATACAATATATAAAATTTTATAGAAGGATAGCGATAATAGAAGAATTCCTCTCAGGCAACATCAATGCAAATTAGAACATGCGTACTTTGATGCATTATTATTAATATGAATGTGGTGTAAAGAAGTACGAGTTTATACAGTATATACATATATATAAAGTTCAGTTGTAATAAATATAAAATATTTTCTCGAAACCAAGATAATTTTATATTTTTTAACGATATTTTATAGTTTTGAGATGAAAATTATCGAAATGATTTTTGTTTTGATAAAGATGGCTTTACTTATAAAAATGAAGACGCTTTTTAATATTATTATAATATGTTGTTTTTATCTAGGCAAAAATTATTTTAAAGAATCATGTTTTCTTTTATAAATTATAAAATATTGAAACATTATTTAGTTATACGTGTTACAGTTATATGTGTATATTAAACTATATAATTACAATTCATTACATGTATACAAAAAAATTTATACATATTAGAAATAATTATATGTAATAATAATATTAAATATATATTTATATTAATTTATATATTAAAATATGTTATAAATAATTGTATAAGACATTTAATATACCGGTTATAAATTAAACAATTATATTTCACGTTATTTCCTCTTGAATCATCCTGTGTGTCGAATCATCGTGTGTGCACGCAACATACACAGAAAGATTCAAAAGAAAAGACCAATAACGTGAAATATATATATAATTGTTTAATTTATAAGCGATATATTAAATGTCTAATATGAGAATAAAAAAATTAAAGTAACCCCAAATAGAAAATTAAAAATAACCACATGTCATTTTATTGTAAATAATATCTATAATCATCATAGATATTATTTAAATTTGTGTCTAATAAACAAAATATATAATCCGCTATGATTTATTTTACGTATATTAATTAGGAAGTGCTATTTAAATTTTTTATATGTTGCATATAATCAGGGTGTTTACTGAAAATATTTTGACCTTGTAAAAAATTTGCAGAGACAATTTCTGGATTTTCTAGATATATTTATTCAAAATTTCAGGTAGGATTAGAAAATTTTTAATGCAACTTTGAGATAAATTAAAGTGTAAACAACATAAAAAAACTATATATTATAATTTTTAAAACGAGGATTCCACACGAGATATATCTATTTTTTTTACAATTAGAGTTGCGAAACGTATAGGAATACGCATTACAATATAGTATCAGTGATCAACTCTCTTCTGCTGCGTATTGTTTTTTGCTATTTTAATTAAAAATTGATTTTCTAATTAAAACTGTCAGGAGAGATACGAAAATGTGCATGAATATACAAATGTATATGCCATATTTATTGTTAACTAATTATTGACATGCATTATCAAGAAGAAATAAAGAAACCATGTTTTCTTTGAAAGAGATAGAATTTAAATCTAAAAGTAAAAATCTAAAAATTTTCCTGAATACCGATAAAAATTCATGAAAATCCTTCATTTTTAAAGGTTAAAAAATCCTCTGAAAACTCCAGGTTTTTCAGATTTTTGCAGGTAGTAAACATCCCGCTAATGTGTATGTGTGTATGTAGATATTAAAAATCATATGTTAATACCTAGACGAAGTGAGTGAGGACAGACTTACATGTTGTGAACTGTTTCTACATTGTTATGTTCTGAGCTCCAGTTCATTAAGATGGCGGTGTAACAGACTCTTGTTCGAGTTACAGCAAAATTTCGCTGACTTTAAATCCAAATAAATATGTAACAAATAAGAAAATAGATGTTTATGAAATCTATGGTGTTTAAGAAATGGAATGAAATTGTAAAAGGCGCGGAAAAAAAGAATCAGGATCAATGTTCATAATCTCTGTGAAACATCATGCTACCTCACAACATGCAAAAAAATTAATCCCTTCTGTATTTATTTCTTAAATACAGAATTTATCATTCATTTACTCACTTCGCTCTCACACGCACACATATGTATATGAAAACATTTGCAATTATACAATTTTTAATAAAGTTTATGAATCAAAATTATGATAAGATCTTTAAGAGAGTGTCCTTAATTTAGCAGCATATATCATTTAAATTTTAAAAATACGTATTCAAATTTTTCGATAAGCTTACTCTTTTAAAAGAGTTGAGGATATTGCCCCCATGTGCTGCTTCAGAAAGGCCCCCCCTTCTATTTCTTTTATGCAGAATATTTCATACATACAAAAACGTAAATGTACATACATATGTATACATATCAATACTTATATGCATAATTTAAAAAACTTTACAAAAATAATACTTATTGAATCATCCACATTCTTTCAATACATTTTTATCTATTTTTACCCTTTTTCAAGGAAATCTTAGTGAACAGTTATGTAAATTTGTATGGTTTACGTATTTTCATAGTTATAATGTTATATGATATGATATGATAAACTTTTAAATGCATCTACAGCATTGATGTTGTAGGAGAGAAATATAAATAATAACATATACATATAAATATGTGTGTGTGTGTGTACTTCGCGCATGTTCCTGAGTGAATGGAAGTGCATGTGGAAGAGCGTGTGAGTGTGCGAGGAACATGCGCAAAGTCTTATCTTCCTCACGTCCTCGCCATGGCCCTTGATAGCACTAAATAACACCAATGTTCAAATGAGCATAACTCTGCGAAAAAAAATCGTAGACCTCAATGACCTTGCATTCTTCTCATCTTGAAAAGCTCTTTCAAACAAGCCCTCATTCGACCCCACATGCCATTTTCAACCAAGACTTTCAACTCCCATCCCTGTCCCATGAAGAGTTCAAGTGGATGTTTTCAAGGTTAATGATATATTTCATGGTGCCATTGTAACTGTATAAATTTCAATCCATTATCTCGAATCATTCAGAAATTATTTAGGTGGTCCCGAACTTTTGGCGGTTTGTGTGTATATATACATATAAAATTAATGAAAATTGTAACTATCATAACTATAAAATAACGAGTCTTAATAAATAGATTACATTTAATAAAAGAAAAATATTTCTTGAGTAAAATAAATAAATAAAATAGAGATTTACAAATGTACAATAATATAAATGTCAAAGATTTTAATTAGTTTTACGTGAACGGAATAATATGTAGTTTGTCACAGAACTTTACAGTGCCAAGAAGAAACATAAGTGCATGATATAAATGATTAATAAATTTGACGTTTTATAAAATGTTCTTTATACTAAAAAGGATAAAAAGAAAGGATAATATATAAGTGCGTAATTTTTGCAAATATAATAATGTTTGCAGATCGTGTGTGTTAAAACAATTTTTCAAACTATTACATTAGAAAAGCACATGCTAGTTACACAAACAATTTAAGTAAAAAGATTTAAGTGCTTTGACTTCATTCATAAACTTAGATACGAGTCAGCACATGTAAATATGCAAAAAGTAAAACATTAAAGATGCATAATATACCTGTTGTTTCTTCTGATTCAATTTGTTACGTTTTATAACTTCCTCTGAAGTATTCAAAGCTTCTGCTGCAGCAGCCTCTAATCTACGACGCTGTTCATTTTCTTGATCCGCTGTCTGCACATTTATACATTTTATTATTTAATATCTGCGCTTCTGACAAAACTACGCGTTAAAAAACTTGGATATCTAGTACATATAATCATTATTGTCACCTTAAATGCTCTCGCGAATCTGACAAGAAGGGAGAAAAAGGTGTTAGCATCAGCCTGTCTTGGACTTTCTCCGAAAAATTCGATACACTCTCGGAACGCTTCACCGGCGGTACGCGCGTCAAGTTTTAAACGACGCAATTTCTCTTCAGAATTGTTCAAAAAGTCGCGCAACACTGTATTGTGCTTCTCCTTGCCGCGTAACTCAAATTCCTTTCGCACAAGATCCATGCCTTTCTCCAGCTCGTGAACGTCAGTCGTTATATTCTCCAGTGAAACTAAAATTAATATGTATATATTATAGTTTTGCAACAGAAATAAAATAAATATTTAAACTAACGATAACAGATATACAGACTGTAAATCGAGTTTTATTTCAAACACTGTTTCATTAATTTATTATTATATAATTTCTATTTTTATCACCGTCTTAAAATTACTAAAGAATAAATACAGTTGAACCTTGATAACCTCGAACCTCTACAACTCGAAACCCTCTATAAGACGAAAAATTTTGTTCATCCCCTTCCGCTCCGCTGCGGAAAACCTCTATAATAAATCGAAATAAAATCTACCTTAACTCGAATTATTTGTCAGGCATTTAAATATATATTTTACCTCTGTAACTCGAATTTAAAGTAGTCAGACCTCTACAAGTCAAAGTTCACCTCTATAAGTCAAACTTCTATTATCGCTATCTCTATAATTCGAAGTTGTAGCTATGTGTAACCGTGAGTAATAGCCTGGTATTTTGTTTGATGATTACATTTATTATATATATGCAATAAATAATTCATTGTTAAATATTGATTTTTTTTCCCTCTAAAAAGCCATTATAACCGGAAAATTATAAAACCTTCGTAAGTCGAATTTTCATATGTAATCCTCTTTTACTCGAATTTCGATAAGTCGAAAACTAACTCGAACAGTTTTTCTGGTCCCTTGAGATTCGAGTTATCAAGGTTCGACTGTATTTTTTTATTATCACATTTTTCCCCAAGTATATGTTTGGCTTATCATCTAATGTTATTTATCTAGCATAATTATATTAAAATTTTGACAGTTAATCAAATAAGGCATACCTGTTGCTGCTTTGTCGATGTACATCAACTCTGATTCGAAATTAATAAGTTCTGGGAACTTGACTCGTATTGTGGCAACGATATAATGCAAAAGGCACATCCTTTTATCGGTCGATTTGGTGTCTAATAATGTATCTAAGCTTTGTAATTTGAAGCCATATGCAGGACCCCGTTTGCTACTATTTAGGTAGTTACCGAAGGCAAGAATAATCTCTAATACTGATCGCAATTTCTTTGAACTCTTAACCGAACTGGATGCAGATATCACAGCGTGTATTTGTGGTGTAATAAGATGTAAATTGTCGAAAAAGTTTCCTATGTAGTTCATAATTGACAACTTGGTAGAGATCCTTTCGACTTTACCAAGTTGCATCAAAAATTTATCTTCTTCCGTTAACAAATTGACATTCTTCTTTTCTATAATATATTCGCGATAAGCCTTAATCTGAAAATAATTTATATTTTATTAATGCTATAAAGTAAGTTTTTTTTTCAAATAATGATAATACTCGTGTTAATAAAGTGTGAAACAAGCATACTTCTTGATCCGTAGGTACCATACGTTGCAATAATTCTACATTTTCGAGCGAAAGGACTTTCAAGTCGAGAGCGTTTACCGCCATTATTACTTTCTCGACTGGCATTTCCATCTTTCGGCGCGATATGGCTAAATTTAGAGGAAAAATGAAAAATGAGTAATAAGTTTATTTCTATGTGTATCACATCATTAGAGTTTATTTACCAATATTTCGCAATCTCGTATGCTCCAAAAGTGATACGTTTTCGGGTTTCTTGAATCGTTTACTCGGGAAGCTTTGAAGTCCGTCGATCTCACTGTTACCATTGGCTACATGTCCACTCATGCCGATCTTAAATCGCTCCTCAAAGTCGGAAAAATCGATTTGGTTGTGCAAACGATCGTCATCCAGCTCATTGAAGATAGTACCTCGTACTTGATTAGGTTTCAGAGCGATCCAATTAAGTGTAGGAAGTTTGTACTTTGTTTGGACCTGAAAGAACATAAATTTGTAAATCAAAGCAGCAATTCGAGAAAAAAAGCAAACAAAACAATGTCATAATTTGCCTGCCAGCAAGATGTGATAATTGTTTTTTTATAATAACGAAAATTACTATTTTTGAATGGTTTTATCATAGTAATTAATTTTATCATAAAAAAACATCACGCATGCTCGCTCGCTCTCTCTCTCTCTCTCTCTCTCTCTCTCTCAAAATTATTTAATAATCTTAATAACTCCATTCAATCTTATAATTCAATATTATATTTATAATCGATATTTTTATTTTAATACTGGAATCAATTCTGTCAAGAAGACGGTTTTCAAATTTTTTAATTTTAAGTTAAGATTAATTTTTTTAATTTTAATTATTAAAGTACTTTTGTTCAATTTTATATTAATTTTCATCGAAATAAAAAATTATTAGGATGATAAAAAAACAATTCAGAACAACTCAAAATAATTTAATATTCTTGAAAAGATGTATTCCTGACTGAACTCTGAAACAATTCCTCCTCTTGCACAACTTCGTCCAAAGCTTAATTTTTAAATTTTCTTAATTTTTAAATTATAAAAATTTAATAAATTATCAGCTTCTTATAAATCGGGTACAAGAAGTAGGCAGAAAATTATTAGGATAAAAAAAATAATTCAGGGCGATTCAAAATAATTCAATGTTCTTGAAAAAACGTATTCCTGACTGGATTTTGAAACAATTTTTCTTGCAAAACTTTGTCCAAAGTTTAATTTTTAAATTTTTAAATTATAAATTTATAATTTTTATAATTTAAAAATTAAGCTTTGGACAAAGTTTTGCAAGAGGAGGAATTGTTTCAAAATTCAGGAGTACGTTTTTTTAAGAACATTAAATTATTTTAAATCGTCCTGAATTATTTTTTTAATAATGGTTAATTTCTTATGGATTGGATACAAGAAGTAGGCAGAAGCGGCGCATCTTATTGCTAGACCTATGGACCTTATGCTAGTTGATCCCAGCAGGGCCGCTTTCTAAACATGCGCGTCTGACGGTGAGTTGCATTGCCTCTGACTTGTACCCGATCCGTAATAAGCTACTTTTATAATTTAGAAATTAAGCTTCAGACAAAGCAGAATGTTAAGTTTTAACTAATTTATTTTTTAGTTAATTTTAAAAGGTACCGACATATAGAAATTATATGTATCGTATTAAAAGGCTATTTAAGTAGAATTGAGTGATATATATTGTTTATCTTTAAGCGAAACATCGGGAACATTGGAGAAATATGATCAAAAACAATGCTATCATATATACTGATAAAAAGCTGTTGAGTAAGACATTAGGAATTAAGCAACAAAAACTTAAATAAGTGTAATTCAACATGTCTGTTAATTCAAAGTCAGAATTTGAAACTAAACGTATTTTTTTGATGGGATTCTTCGTCGCTCGTTATTTTCATTAGAAAATATCCTTACGCGTTATATGTGTTTAAATAATAATAGAATCTTTGTTAATGTAATTTCTAATATCTTCTTGCACAACTGTTTATAATAAACATAACAGCATTAGATGTTTATCTTTGATCATGATTTTTCTTATATTATCGCTGTTTCCTCAAAATAAGTGCTACACCATTCAACTCTACTTAAGTAGTTTAATATGATATGTAATTTATACCGACACTTCTTCATGTTAGCCGAAAAATAGCAAAAACAACAGCTTAATTCTCATTTTGCAAAAAGAAAAATTGTCTCCGAATTTAGTTAAGATCTTTTCAAGGAATTGTTCTGAATCACCTTATATGTATATGTCAATTTATTTTTTCTGCAAACACTATGCTCTAATTTTAAAATTTTTAAAGAATTTTAAAGTTCTATGTAGGGATACTTAAATACATCAAAATATGTTGATTGTTCAGTGTTCTAATTCTAAGCAACAAAAAAATTAATGTGAGATGTTAAAAATTTTTATAACTGAAAGCTATGTTTATTATTAATTAATTACACAGACCTGCGAAATTAAGGGTCCTAAAAGAAATAAGTAGCAAAATAGCGATTTTCTATATAATTTTAGTCGTTGAATCCGAATCCATCATCGAAAAATGTCCATTACATCAGGTTTTTGAAATAAATGTGGTAATGGGCTACAGTGATTTTTATTTTATAATTCACCGAGTCACCGATTTTTTACTACTTCATAAATACATAATCGTCTCATCGTCGAAGTTTCTATTTTGAAATCTTCGGCAAAAAAAATCATACAGGAATAAACAAAACCGCTATTTAAAGATAAAATATAGCGCTTTATGATGCCGTTGAGAGAATATTAAAAACATAATTTGGTCAGTCACAGTATTGCTTTGAAAATAGCAAAAATCACTGTTTTTGGTCCATGTTATCACATTTATCTCAAAAACCTGATGTGATAAACATTTTTCGCTGGTGGATTCAGTGATAAAATTACGAGAAAATTACTATTCTACTACTCGTTTCTTCTAGGATCCTTAATTTCGCAGGCCTGTGTTATTTAAATATTATCACATTCGATCAAATTAAAACGTTGGGAAGATGGCAAATTCCATGGCGTTGCTATTTTACTGACGATTTGTGCATATGTACGTGTGCGATATTGATGTATAGTATGTAGCCTACACACTCAATGAAATTCGGCTGAGTGTTCAGCATCGCTTTAAAGAAATTAAAAATAATAAATAAAACGTTATTTCGTGACAGACGTGGTCCGTCAATTTGACATCAAAATTAAATGCACGCTTGTTGTTCTAGTAATCTAGTGTTAATACAAAACGTCGAAATGCAAAATCAATGAAATACACTGCTCAAAAAAATTATGGCATAGAAAAATTTTGAGCAAAAATTGGTCAACTTTGGTTAACGGTAACTCCGCGAAAAATCATCGTAAAATGATGAATTTTTTTTCAAATGAAAGCTTGAAATCTCTACTTTAAAATACCGTGAGGCGATTTTAAATTTAATGCACCCCTGTGGCTGTAAACTCTTAAATCTGAGAGCATGTTTGCCACACTGAAAATTGCAAAGTTTGAACGAGTGCA